TGTGCTGAACTCTGGCCTAAAACCCAACTGGAATGACTCCCAATAATGAACTTCTGCCAGGGTTCTCTAAAGCTGAAGCCCAATTAACTTCTTTGTTAATGGAGACAGCATAGCAAATTCCAGGATCTAGTCTAGTAATAACTTATTGAAGAGAGGGTACATTACAGGACCGACACTTCACTGAAGAAAGCCAACATCACCACATTGACCCAACCATAGTTTACCTCCTGTATGCTTTAACCGTCAGGGATAGAGCATGAATCTAACAAGCAGCTGACCAGGATAACAGATGTGAAAACCCTGTCAACTTCCCTAGGAATCACAGAGTCAAACTTACTACAGATAAAATCTGACAAGATCACAGTTTTTGCCAAATAGATATAATATTCTTCCCTGCAGTATGCTGATGGTCCTGAGCCCTATCGTTCCCCACAAGGGTCAGGTCACCTTAAAAATGGCTGCCAGACAATTATTGGTAAAACCTCCCAAATCCAGATGAGAGGTTCCTCAGAAGGTTACAGTGAATAATAGAGCTAAGATTCTCTAGGACTGCCAGATCCAGACAGAGGCAGGTATTAGCCAGCCACCCAGATGTTGTGGTAATAGACAAAGATCAGAAGACCTCAGTGATGATATATGTAGCGGTGTCAAGTGACAACAACATCTTGAAGAAGGGAGTATGAGAAGCTGGAAAGGGACCAAGGCCTGAAGGAGGAACTGGAGAGGATGTGGAAAGTAAAGGTCAAAGTGGTCCCAGTGGTGGTAGGAACACTTTGAACTGTGACTACTAAGCTGGGAGAGAGGCTCCATAGAACCCAGGACTGATGTCCGAGCTCTCTGTCCAGAAGAGTGCAGTTCTGGGAACAGCTAAGATGCCACAAGAACCCTCAAACTCCGAGGCCTCTGATAGAGGACCCGAGATTGAGAAAACACATATCACTCATAGGGAGAAGGGAAGGGAAGATGAGAAGGGAATTTGTGTGTGTATTTCAGATGTTTGGTTGGATATGTAATAAGAGAGAGGCAGGGGAATTATCTGATCTTCAGTTTTCAAAAAGAATTTGCAATACTATTAGTACTTACTTGAAGCAACATTGAAGTATATACAGTTAGTCCTCATTTAGTGACCACTCTTTCAAGTTACCATGGCATTGCATTTGTTCCAGTGTCCTCATGGTCATGTAATTGCAATTCAGACACTTGTCACCTGGCTTACAATTACAATAGTCACAATGTCATGTGGTGATGGCCTCACCATTTGTGACCTTCATTGCTGGTTTCTGATAAAGCAAAGTCAATGGTTTGCAAATGGCGAGCATACGACATGCCTAAGCACTGCACAGGATTTGCCTATTGACAGCAATTGGAACTAACATTGTAAGTTGGCACAGTCACATAACAGAATAATGGAAGTGACCTTGGAGACATTTTGCTTTATAGCTGCATTTCTTAGCATTAGAATTCTTGGTCCCAATTACCATCATTATTTGAGGACTATTGGTACTACTGTAGTAAATATTTCTTTAGAGCTACTTGACATATTTATATTTTAAGATTTTCAAATGTTCAGACATTATAAAGAATTTTCCATGTGTAATACTGATGAAGTTAGTAATAACCACAACAGTCCAGTATTATTTGTTTTGTCTTTGATTTCTACTACTTGGCATTAGTTTGTAGAAAATTGTTTTGCATTTTGAAATGATTAACATAATTAACTCCAATCTTAGAAATAATACTTGAATCCAAATATTTATCTTGTAATTAAATCTTGTACTGGTTTTCTGCATGTTTAATATTTGTAGGTGTATTTTTTTCACCAGTGCATTTTTTAATTCTATATTTCTTTAAAGTTTGAATTGAGTTTCACTTTAAAATTTGAGTTGATGTGAAGATGAACCATTACATGTTCCTCCCATGTAAAATTCTAGTCTGATTGG